TCCAAACGGAAACAGTCGCCCCTTTGAACACCTCCAACATTCAGGTGGTGGCATGTATTATACACCTCCCCACAAAGAAGCTGGCGGCAGGCTGCGTGTACCGTAGCCCCTCAGCATCCCAGGTGGAGGATGAGCAACTACTGTCATACTTCCGACAGTTTGGTTACGGGACTACCAGTGTGTTAATTCTGGGAGACTTCAATGCCCCTGAAGTCGATTGAAATGTCACGTGGGCACCCCCAAGCAGTTTTAGGCATATGCTAGTCACTTTTACCCTCGACTGCGCCCTAGTCCAACACGTCAGCCAACCCACGCGTTATCGCAGTGGGCAATACCCTGGGTTACTGGACCTAGTCCTCAGCAAGTATCCCAACGACGTGACCGGTCTAGCAACCTCCCCAACCCTAGGCAGGAGTGACCACGTGATCCTACGTTTTTATCTCCATGAAAATGGTCCTAACCCTTTCGTAAAATGAAGGAGAGCCTTCAACAGGATAAACAGCAACTCCCTCTGGGGGGCTCAGCCCGACACACTAGAAGAGCTGTGGAGCGTCATCAAGTCAAACCTCTCAGTGCTCACTTCTGAGTTTGCTCCGTTAAGGAGGATTCGCAGAAACGACAAACTTCCCTGGTGGTCGAGAAGGGTAGCAAAGGCACAAGCCCGAAAGCGTAAGGCTTGGAGGCAGTACCTCAGGACCCGTAGCTATCATAGGCATCTCCAGTACGTCAGGGAGAGAGATAGGGCGATCAGTGCCCAGACAGCCTACGAAATGAGGCTGACGCGGCGGATTAAGGAATGCCCCGAGGCGTCCTTCACTTACGTACAAGCCAACTCAAAGTTGCTTACAGCGATAGGCACCCTCAAGGGCGCGAACGACCAACCAATACTAGCCAGCTCGGAGAAAGCCGAGACCTTCAGACGCTTCTTCGAAGCAGTTCACTCAAGGGATAATGGGGCACCCGGGGGCACCCTACTCCGAGGCCCATCCCAGGTATGGCAGAGTTTGAAATACTCCCCCAGGAGGTCGAGGACTATCTGAGGCGCCTCAACACTGGTAAATCGGCANGTAGCAGAGATAGTGCCCATACACAAGGGAGGATCCAGGAACTGTGTAGGAAACTACACACCGGTCAGCTTGCTGTCTATTCCACTTAAGGTCATGGAAAATATCCTGAGGGATCACGTCGCACGTACTGGGACAGGGCTTGATATCGCCCAACCAGCACGGTTTTGTGCAGAAAAAGTCCTGCTTGTAAAACTTGCTAGACTTCACGGATGAGATCACCCAGAGGCTTGACCGAGGGG